TCATGACCTGAGCTGAAATCAAGAGTCCAACACTTAACCAACTGAACCACCCAGGCGCTCCTCTCCCAGGATTCTGAAAACAATAAAAAAAATGTGGAAGAAACTGGGCTCTCTGGTTAAGACTACATAAAACCACTCATCCACTCCTCTGGCATCTTTGTAATCTTTTCATTACAGTCACATACAACAAGTTTGATCCTTCTTGGCCCTTCAGAACAATCTTCATCACCTTTTGCCAACTCATATTATCTCGGTCCCCGTCCAGATGGACAGCCTGGCTATTAGCCTCTCACAGCATAAGGGAAAAGGACTACCCAGATCTAGCAGTTGTCCTCCCAATTTACCTACAGTGGGTTCTTCTTAACTTTGAGCTGTGCAGTTACAGAGTTAGCCAGACACCAAAACCAAATCCTTCACATTACCCACTCAACAAAATGACCAAAAAATATAGTTTCTATACCTTGTATGTTTCCTGGTCTCTAGAAGCCCAACTTTTGCTCACAGCTACACCTGACATTTACTCAGATTTCTCTTGGTCATACTTTAGTAACAGCAGATCCCATTACGTCCCTTAGAGACCCTAAAACCACAGTTTCAGCATTCTAAATAAGTCCCACTGCCACCCGTAACTGAACTGAGCTTATGGCTTTCGAAGCTACCTGACTTTTTGGCTAGCTCAACTTCAGTAGCAAGTAGGGGATGGCCTAGTTTAAGGGTAGCACACTAGACATGGATTTTCTTATAACAGCCTAGCACAGAGAGGCATCAGTATTCAAGAGCATTAGGGGCCTGCAAGATTAACATCTTGCTTTCCATTTAGGTCTTGGAGTTTAAATTGTACTTTTTTTTTGTTTTTTAAGGTTGGGGTAGGGCAAAAAGATCAGAGACGGAGCAAAAGTTAATAGATAAGACCAGTTTGTGGAAGCCATAGCTACAATGTTCTACACCACTCTTCACCGAGTAGTCCACACCCAGCACCCTCCACAAGAAGGGAGACAAGCACGTTTGGGCCAGATGAGCCTTTTACAGAAGAGCACTGCCCCATCCTCCTTCACCCTGAACACCCCATTTTTTCAAATGCAAAAAACCAAATGATAGTAAGACTGTAAAAGTTTCCAAACAAGAAGGAACTGTTGCTTTTTTAGTAAGGAGTTTGTCCTAGATGCCCAGCTCACTCCCAGCTCTTCCTCAAAGAATTAAAAAGAAAAAGAGCTCTATCCTCTCTGAAAGGTACCACTGAGTCATACTCTCATCTACCACACATACAGTGTTATTTTGAGTGGTGGCAAGGTAAACACCTGACAACCAACTGTGCAGAATCCTTACGCCTTCTGTTGACAGATTCCCTTGAGGAGCTCAGTTTATGAGCTTTTACTCCGCAGACCAGGTGACTTTCAGACTTTGGCACCTATTTCTATTTAGATATCAAGCTTGGTTCCTAAGCAACCAGCCAGCTCCCCTCCCTCTCACTTACCCCGTCAGGGAGCCAGCTTACTATACTAGCAGAACAGGTCAAACGGAGATCAATCTTGGACAAATCAGTGCTTGAGGGAACTTTAATGAAAGCAAGAAAAAAATGTGGTGCAAGAACAATGCAGAAGGGTTCTGTTCCAGGCAGTTCTGCCTTGTACAAGTAGAATGAAGTCATCAGGTCAGAGTTTTAACTGGCATTATTTCAGGCATTATTCCAACCCCTTCGTTTTACAGTAATGAATCTGAAGCCTAGAGGTTAAATGACTTGGTGGTTCAAGGTCACACCACTGAAGCAAAGCTGCAGCTAGAACGCTGCTGTCCAAAGTCCCAGGCCAAATCTCCCTCTACTACATTACACTAACATTGCGAGGTTTAAAAAAGAAAGGGGGAATAAGAAGGGTGATTTTTCCATAAATTAAATCAACTTTAAAAGCCAGGCATATGTGGAGAATTGGAGGCCACTAACATTGTTAGAAAGAAGAAGTTTAAAAGCTGGTTAAATCTGAGTAATAAAAAATACCGATATGTACAATATTGTAAAAAAGATGGCATTCATGATTACTGGGCTGGCAGGGCAGGGGGTAGTTGCATGCTGGGGGTGGGCTGCATGGGCTGCCAGCTTTCCTGGGTTTGGAGGATGCGGTACAGCTGCTTCAGTTGAGCAACGATGTTATCTTTGATGTCTGGAGTTGATATCTGCAGGCGGACACTGCCACTGTCAAAGGACCGTGTAAAATCACCAGAAAACATCTCGTAGATCATCCGAGCTACCACTGGAATGACCTGTTCAGGACACAGAGCACACAGGTATCCACTGAAGAGAAGGTATTTTTAAATAGCAGGAGGGACTCAAGATGATAGAAGGGACCAGTGGGGCCCTGGGGAAGCCCCCAACCCTTATGTCTAGATACAGGGTATGCCTTCTTCTCTCTGGACCATCCTGCTAAGATTCACTCTAGAACTTGGTTCAAATGAAGGTGAAGAACCTATATGTCTCATCACATCACATGTCTAAATAAACAGCTGCTTCTTTAGTAAGACTTTTACCCACATTTCATCTGTTGACTATCTTTTTTACAAATCCAGGGACCAAACCCAAGTGGTCTTGCTGCCACTTACTAGAATAAGGTTACATTCTTAAAAGTAACTCAAAAGGTTTTTCTTAAAGAGCTGGAAAGGACCATATACTGTTAGGTTTCAGCAAGACTCTAATATTAGTCAGCAAGAGAATGCAAGGTAAGGTCTTCACTAAACCAGTCATCCACTTTGAGGACCCTGTGTGCTCCAGCTTGGTCCTATTTTGATAGGACCTACTTGGTTCTTACAATAAACAAAGCTTGAGTCTGCTATTCTATCTGATGGGAATAAAGTGCACATAGGCTGATGGACCTTTGCTCAGCATAACCCTAGTCCTAGGGGCTAAAGCACTGGTGAAAAGGCAAAGAGTTGTTGACACGTCCTTATATCCTCACCTGAACCAAGATGAGTTTTCTTTCCAGGGGTTTCCCATCTGGCCATTCTTCCCCAAAGCATAAGTAGATCTCAAATGGTGGCTGCTTCTCTATCTGTCCTTTCTGGTGGGCAATGAGATCTGTAGAAGGTGGAAGAGCAAGTTTGGTGTACTGGGCCATTCCATATCCACTCAGTAAATACCATCTTCTATGCTGTCCAATATGGTGGTCACTAGCCACATGTGGCTATTACATTTAAATTAATTAAAATTAATTAGTTCCTTAGTCATATGAGTCACATTTATGTGCTCAACTGTCCCATGTGGGCTACTCTGGACAACACAAATATAGAACACTTTTACCATTTCAGGGGGTTTTATTGGACATCACTAAACTGGACCTGGGGTTCAAATTATACTGTAAAATCCACATCTCAGTGTTCTCCCTAAATGTGTCTGCTTGAATTTGCCATTCAGATATTTCCCGAATGAGCAGAATATGTTTTGCTAATTATGATAAAGTCAACTTCCAACGTTAAAGTGGCATTGGTGGCATTTGGCCGTAATGACAAGGCTGTCTCCCTCTTCTGCCACTAAAGGAGCCACAGCCAACCTAAAAATAGCTTCCAAGTACATAGCTTTGGAGTGGAATGCCCTTCTTTGTTGCCCAGGCCACTTTCATTTCTCAGAATTAAGGTTCTCGGGGCGCCTGAGTGGCTCAGTCGGTTAAGCGTCTGCCTTCGGCTCAGGTCATGATCCCAGGGTCCTGGGATCGAGTCCCGCATCGGGCTCCCTGCTCGGCGGGAAGCCCGCTTCTCCCTCTCCCACTCCTCCTGTTTGTGTTCCCTCTCTCACTGTCTTTCTGTCAAATAAATAAATAAAATCTTAAAAAAAAAAAAAAAGAACTAAGGTTCTCTTCTACCTTCACTTCCTCCAGGAGTTTTTTGTTAAGATCTTTGCAGAGCCAGGAGAGGGGGTAGGGAAGGTGGTAAACCTACTTCCAGGAAGAAGTTCCCAACCACCAACCTTCTGAAAAAAGACTTACCACTAAGGAACGTTTCCAGGCAAAACAGTTTGACCTTCTTTTGTCTCTCAATCAGGTTGGGGGCAACAAGTGATGGGGCACATGGCCCAGACCAGTACACCTTGCATTGGCACAGCCTGATGGCATAAATGGCATGACCGCTGACCTCCAGGATCAGTCCTCTGTCCATGACGTCTAGCAGCTTACTGGTGAACAGTTTCTGCTTCTCATTGGTGATATGCTCTGGACCTGGGAACTTGACCTGTTCCAGGCTGACAGGACCAAAGAGCTCCTCTTGGTCAGGCATGGGACCCAGGTCCCCATAGAAGAGCCGGCAGCCCTGGGGGTTGCTCACGGTCATGGTCTGCCCATATTCCTTCCCACGGTACTGAAACTTGATGTCCAGGTCAGTCACTGCAAGGTGAGAGAGGACAGTGAGAGTCCTGCTCTAATGCTCTGCCTATCTCTGAGACTCATGCAAGTCCATCGAGATGAAGCCACCTTTCAACCAGCATTCAGGAAGGTCACTACCACAGTTATCCTTCCTGCAACAAAGGAAGACATCATCCTATCCCTGGAATATTCACTCAAAAGGCTGCCTTAAAAGCAGACAGTTCAAGGTCCATGTATACTATCTCTGTTTAATCATTACACCCTAAGGGCTAGAATTTCTCCAAGCAAACTTCTGGGTCCAGTCTCCTCATTTATATTGAGTCTTCTGGTTGCCTGGGTGGCTCAGTCATTAAGCGTCTGCCTTCGGCTCAGGTCATGGTCCCAGGGTCCTGGGATCGAGCCCCACATTGGGCTCCCTCCTCGGCAGGAAGCCTGCTCTCCCTCTCCCACTCCCACTGCTTGTGTTCCTGCTCTCGCTATCTCTGTCTCTGTCAAATAAATAAATAAAATCATTAAAAAAAAAAAAAGATATACTGACTGAGTCGTCACATTAGCAGGCATTGGAAGGAGCTAAAGACTAAGGTACCTAGTTTGTGTCTCATTTTTGGCTCATTTTTAAAGAAACCAGAAGAATAAGAAAAAAATACCAAGCTTGTCTTTCTGAAAAATGATACACACAAGCACACTCTGTGGATCTGTTCTAATAATTTACCATAAAAGGACACAGTTCATGGCAGAGTAAATTTTCACTCATCAAGCCTCAATTAAACCCTATAGGTCTTATCAAAGCTATTAGCCTCGGGCGCCTGGGTGGCTCAGTTGGTTGAGCCACTGCCTTCGGCTCAGGTCATGATCCTGGAGTCCCGGGATCGAGTCCCGCATCGGGCTCCCTGCTCGGCAGGGAGTCTGCTTCTCCCTCTGACCCTCCTC